TACTATCTCATTCCAGATATTAGTCTAGTTAACCTTCTCTGTACTGCCTCGAATCCAGTTACATCATTCCTTAAATGAGATGAGCAATACTGTGCAGATTTCCTTCCCTGAAGAGCATTAGTGAACTGATGGCTCTTTACAACAAACCAGTACAGTTTTATAATCATGAGTAATGAGGGTGTATTATTTAATTAATTCAAATGTCGTGATGTTGTGGTGGTATTTGAACTCTTACCCCTGGAGACAGAGGCCCAGCTTCTGAATTACCTTCCTCTGATTGAAGAATTTGATGCATTTTTGTGCTTGGTTTCTGAGGCTTGGTTAAGGCAAAAGCTCTGAGCGAGGGAGAGTGGTGCTTCTTGCTAGTATTAACTGAATTTGTTCGTTTCTCTGTGGCTGTGGAGGGAGTAAATGAGGCCTGTGTTGTAAAGGTCTCCAAGGTAGGGCTGCAGGCAGCTGGCAATTTCCTGAGTCTGGGAAAAGGCGATCTTCCACATGTGGCTGAAACACATGTGTGATCTGAATTGATTTCAATGATTCACAATGCTTATATTCAATGCATATCCTACTAAGTCTGGTTTCAGACGCTGACAGGATGAATTGGCTACCCTAAATGTTATACTTAAATATCCTTGCATCTGGTTTATATCCTGACTCCAAGAACGAACGTTCAGAAAACAGCTGGGATTCCTTACCCTGTTGTTCAACAACGTGACTGCAATATGAAATGTCATTACCAAATAAAATTAGCTGACCTGAAGCTTTTTCCACCACCATTCCATGTGGTTCCATTTTAATTTGCATCCTTTTCAAGTGGTGACATTTTGAATAATTCCGTCATGTTCAGTAATATCATTTAATCTGTGGCTCATATTAGACCATTATTTGCATCTTGGGCAGCTGTTACAGATTCTTGTATCTCCCCCCAACCACTCCACCCCCAAAAACCCCTCCTCTAAGCTTGAATTGTGGAGGTGTCCGCTATTTTAGGGTTAAAATAAAAGAACTTCCATCAGTGTCTATATATTAGGCTGCCTTATTAAAACACAGCGTGCAAGCACAGCCAATCTGTAATAAGCAAGCAATGGTGTAAGAGAGATTGCTGAAAAGTGGGAAGTGTGTCTACAAAGTAAACTCTGCTGTGCATGTAAAAGTAAAAGGTTAAAGATAGAGCCTGGAGAGCTTTTAGTTGCTGCTTAGTTTCAGGAACTCAAGATTGGATGAAAGTTATTTGAAATAATCCAGCATTCCCTTTAGCAGGAGTAAGTTCTCACAAAGGGAAAAGCCTTTCAAAGGAGTGAAGTGCTGAACTTCTGAGATCCAAGGTAAACTGTTCTTACACTTTTTTTAAAGTATAAATCAGATTTTTCAGATGTTTATGGGTATATTCTCAATGTGAAGCACACACACTGTAGTGCCATACACTATTTTGCATCTGAAAAGTTAGGCAAGAGTTACTGATTTGATACAGATTTGTATATCTTTGTGAAAGAAACATCTCAAAGGACTGTTTAAGTGAATACTGAAATTTAGTAGTCAGAAGTATGTAAAATTAGGTTTGGATGATTTCAATAAAAACCAATAATTGTAGATTTTTCAAATTACTTTCAATTTTACAATTATGTACTTCATCATTGCATTTATTTTCATGTTTCTTTAACTCTGGAACATCTGGGGCAAATAATCATCTGATTTACACAGGTGAGAGCAAATTTAATAAGCAAGGTGATGGCCTTTAGTCCTAAAATTAAACTCATGCCATCTCTTAAATCCAAAACCATCACTGTGATAGCAATCTGAAAATTCTTCTGCGCTGAATCCTACACTTGCTTTCTAGACACTCTTGGCTCGAATTTTATGATGTACGCCGGTCCTGATGGAGAAGGTATCAATTTGAGAAAAATACCTGGTCATATGAAATTATTTACGTTTGCTTGTTTTTTTTTTATAAATGCATTCCAAATGCTGAGACAAGTTCTCAAGGGAGGAAAGATTTGGTTTTAACAGACAGATCAGCCCAGGTAACTGGAATGCTAAGCTAGTGTTTGCAGTTATGCAATTAGAGGCAGCACATGTGGGCTTAGATGCGGTGACTCAGTTCTGACAGCATATGGTTCGACATTGTCATACTTACCCTCGCTAATTCAGTGTGAATCTCACACTGCTGGACAGCAAGTGTGTTGTCATCACTTTGCATGCTTTCTGTAGTTTCCCAGTGTGTTATCCTTCTACAGCATTCAGCTTACATTCTCTGACCTACATCCCAACATTCGCCACTGTCTTTTGCATGTTTATCCCAATGCACATTCATACCATCACATTTAAAAGAAAGGGAGCACGCATTTAATGTTCTTGGTTTTAGCCAAGTGACCTCAAAAGAACACAGTGGTGTGAGTTAATGGGCTTCTTGATGCATCATTTAGAGTTGAGAATTTCATTTTTGAGGGAGGGGATGGTAGGAAGCAATTTACTACTCCTGTCATTTACTCTCAATCACGTTTATTTATTTTTTAATTACAAGCAATGGTTACAGTGTATGTCATGGTGACTTTATGAAGCCTTTCTCTGTATTGCACTGATTATTGATTCATTCATTTAAACATTTTATGCTTTAATTAATGCAATAGCTATCCAGGCAAAGTAGGGACTGAAACAACATGGGGAGCACAGCTTTCAATTACAGGTTATTTTCATTCAATTTGTGTCTCTTTACTTATCAACTGTTTGTTCCAGTATTACTAATTGTTGAAGGATTATCCACTTGGTCCAACTGCCCACGTTTTTGACCGGTACAATGACCCTCAGCTACTCAGTTTCCCTTTGATGTTCAGGTTTGTAATGGGGAAAATGTACTCATAAGAAAATTCAATCCAGATGATTTTATTTTTCAATAAACATAAACATGTGTATATGCCTTTATTGCCTTAAGACATGAATAGGTCTGCTGGCTGGTCTAATATATACCCTTCAAATTTGGAATTCATTCTCATTCAAGTCCTGTTCACCAATTATCCCTGTGCTCACTGACCAATAGTGCCTCAATTTTAAAATTCTCATCCTTCTTTTCAAATCCATCCAAGTCCTCACCCATGCTATCCCTGTAACCTCTTCCAGATCCTACAACCCTCTGAAATATCTGTGCTCTTCCAATATGGGTTTGATTTTCCTTCATTTTAATTGTTCCACCATTGGTGGCAACAATAAACACTATCACTCCATTACAGTCAACATTATGATCTGGTCTCTATTTTATTTGTTTAACCTATTTTTCTAATCATCCTGTTCAGAGATGCTATTACACACCTCTGGATCAGGTGTGACTTGAACCCAGGCCTCCTAGTCCAACAGTATGGACGCTACCACAGCACCACATGAGGGCCCCTGGCCTGTGCTATATCACTCAACAAGCTGATTGATGTCTACTGCCTGTACCCTCTATTCATGAGTTCCCTCCCAAAATCTTTCTGCGTCTCTGTCTTGCCTCCTTTAAGTCACTCCTTAACATCTAAATCTTTGACCAAGCTTTGCAGTCCCTACTCTAATATCATCTTACTTGACTCAGACTTCTGTTTGATAATCACCCCTGTGAACAATCTTGGGACATTTTAGTACATTAAAGTACTGTTCAAATTCATCTTATTGCACCAACATGATGTATCTTGGTACCAGTGAAAAAATATACTCAGATTTCTGTTTCTTTTCTTCACAAAAGAAATTGTTCAACATTGATGTGTTTCTTTCTGTGTATTAGCAAAGATGGCCAAAGCCACAGTAACTTGTTTTGATGTTGTAGAATCGTAGCCATAGAGTCATACAGCATGGAAACAGAACCTTTGGTCCAACCAGTCCATGCCGACAATAATCCCAAACTAAACTAGTTCCACCTGACTGTGCTCGGCCCATATCCCTTCAAACATTTCTTATTCGTGTACTTATCCAAATGCCTTTTAAATGTTGTAATTGTATCTGCATGCACCACTTCTTTAGGAAGTTCATTCCACACACAAACCACCCTCTGTGTAAAAGAATTTGCTCCTCATGTCTTTTCTGAGGTTGGAGAGCAGACAATTTGATCTCTGTTATGGACAATGACATATTTGTTCACTGGTGGAGGCAGTTGGTATGGATTGAACAACGCGGATAATGAGTGGATAGATTGCCTGTATCTTCACATGATTTCTTTTTGAAGATCAAAGACTACTGAGACAGAAATTTCCATTGGGACATTAGGTGATGCAGGAGAACCTTTGAATCAATCAAACTGTAATCTGTATGGTAGGTCTTAAATGGTCTCAGTATGACAAATTTCTTTCGGTCATTCCATGGCTGCTCAGGCCCTCATGTTTTGGTGAAAGAAGAGAATCCCTACAGTGTGAAAGCAGGCCATTCGTCCCATTGAGTCCACGCCAACTGTGCAAAGAGCATCCCACCTGGCCCCACCCCATCCCTGTAACTCTGCACTTCACCGGATACCATGGGTAATTTAGCATGGCCAATCCACTTAACCTGCAATTCTTTGGACTGTGAGAGGAAACCACAGCACCCAGAGGAAACCCATGCAGACACGGGGAGAATCCGCGAACTCCACACAGACAGTCACCCGAGGATGGAATCAAACCTTGGTCCTGGTGCTGTGAGGCAGCATTGCTAACCACTGAGCCACCCCAGAAAGCTTGGGGATAATCTACTCCCCCATCCCAGCAACTAGTATTAAAATATCACACTCACCCTAGTTAAAAGGGGCTCATCAACACCTGGAATCCTCACAGTGCGGAAGCGGGCCATTTTGCCCATCAAGTCTGCACTGACCCTTCAAAGAGCATCCCACCCCAGATCCAACCCCCTACCCTATTCCAGTAACCCTGCATTTCCTATGGCTGATTCGCCAAACCTGCACATCTTTGGACTGTGAGAGGAAACCAGAGCACCTGGACAAAACTCATGCAGACACAGGGAATATGTGCAAACTCCATACAAGGGTGGATTCGAATCCAGGTCCCTGGCACTGTGAGGCAGCAGTGCTAACCACTGAGCCGCCCTGCCACACCTTTCTTGGTCCAAGTTGGTCGATTGCAATTTTTGATGACAGGCTGCATGGATGCCTGACCCAAATTAAATGGATTCCTCTTTTAAAACTGCAGGTTGAGTCTTGAAAATGTCATTGGGATCCTGCCTGCTTTTTTAATTCGAGGTTTGACTAGTGCTTCTTACTGTTGGGCCGAGTCTGATGTCAGATTGCATTTATCTACGATCATATAAGCAAACACGAACCTTTCCGAGAGTACATTGATGATGCCTGTGTACAGCTTGCCATGTAATACTCTTGATACTCTAACCCTAATGGCTGCTACTGTGCTTTGTAATCCATTGGAAATCAGTAGCTAATTGTGTTTGAGCTCAGACTACACTGACATTTCTGATGGAGTTGTAACATGTATAGCTGTACCTTCTGGATCCTTTTTCTTAGTAAGAAACTCATTTCAGGGTTTATGTAGCAAGAGTTAACAATACCAGAAAGCACATCAAAGCCAGCCAGAGACAGCTGCAAGATCAGGTTCCTTTCCCAACAAAGGAGGGTCCTCCAGGTCCTACCAGGACAACATGGAGTTTCCCTGCCCCAGGTTGTCCCCGCTTCCCCTTCTTTTCTCTTGATTTATCCTGTCTATTCCCATTGCTCGCAGTACCTGAGCCACTCTCTCCCATACAGTTATGAACAATGAAAGAAAGAAAACACCTGAATTTCGATTATGCCTTACACTACCTCAGGTTTACAGCCAATAATGTATGTGGGAAACATAATAACTGTTGCGACATTGGAAATGTAGTAACCAAATTTGCGCACAGCAAGATCCCATTGGAATCATTGATATAATCACCAGATAATCTGCGTTTAATTCTGTCAATTAAGGGTTAATTATCAACCAGGGTACTGGGCGAAACAATTTCTGCTTTTCTTTGAAACAGTGACAGGATCCTTTATGTTGCCCAGAGAGGGCAGGTGTGGCCCTGGTTGAAAATAATGAAAGATGGAACTTCTGACAATGCAGCATTCCCTCAGTATTCCAACAGGAAACTGAGATGATGTGCTCAGATCCCCGCAGTGAGTCTTAAACCAACAACCTTCTGGCACCTGGACTCATTAAGTTGTCGTTAAGAAGTAATTTCTTTCGGTGTGCTAAGATCTATTGGCTGAAATTCTCACCAGATGCATTACTTTTCCCAGAAGCAGGATAATGGGGGAAGATTTATACCACTCAGTTGATCACCGTTTTAGTCACTCATCTGAATGTTTCAATGCAGTGTACAGAAAACCAGCTGTTGCAGA